GGGGGGGTGGGGCTATATGCATCTATACTCCTGGGTGGGAGAGGCACTGTGAGAGTTAAGTGTCTTGCCTAAGAACAACAGGCCAGGTATCGAGTCCGGAAACCAGCGCACGAATCATAAGGCCACCACATCAACCATAGAATATTGGTAGTTTGGGTCCATTTCTCCCGTGCCGCTCCCTGATCCTTTTAACTCTTTACCTCCCATGAGTGACCAAGACAGAATTTCTGCTAACAATATCATTACAATACCTAGCAGAAAAGTGATGAGAATAAGGACAATTATCAACTGGGGGATTACTACTTGATTTAATACCAAATTCTCCACACTCACCTCATACGAATTGTATGACATAAAGTAAGGAGAGTTACTAGTGCGATCTTCGGAAGGAGAGGGGTTGACTGAGAGTCTAGAACAGGTTTCTAATATAACTTATAATTCCTTGGTCCCAGCATGCTTTGCTCACTCGTTTCGTACCTGCAGGAGATGGTGTAATGGGCCTTGTAGTCACATTAAGATAAGTCCCACGTTGATCAGGTCCAACGACGTTTAGAGCCTTACATGAATATGAACCCGAATCAGCCACAGAAACGTTCTTCAAATTCAGAACTGACTTCCATTTTAGCCACGAACTATCCTTTGGCGAAGTCAGCAGATGTGCTTCAAACAAAGTTTGGTTGAGTAAAGAGCCTGGTTTGACTTCATCTGGGAAAAAGCTTTTGCTAAAATACCAATCGAATTTCGTGTCAATATCCTTAGAAAGGACGATGCAGTGTAGCTGCAAATCGGTTCCCGCATATTCAGGATCTTTCTGTTCCCAAATAGATAAGATCTGAGGCTCACTTCGAATTTTCTCTACCAAAAAGACAAAACAGAGAATTTGTCAAATTGACGAAAATAAACAATCCGTTGAGACCTTGTTGTTATCCAATTTTTCACACCAATTGCGGTTGGCCTACTGCAGGGAAAATCGTTTTACAGGTTAGGCGTCCCCCACCGAAGAAGAACTATTTCTATCATACCATATCATATCATACCAACTGAATTGTCGACCACTGAAATGGGCACCACCATGGATTTGGACGTCTCGGGGCAATCGCACATACCGCAAGTTGAATTTGCAATGAAACTTTGAACCGCATTCCTGAGCACAAAGTTATGTCAGGTAAAGGGGCTAAGTCACGACTGGCGCATGCGTAGCATGAATCCGAGAAACATGTCAAAAGAACGGGCCGTTGAAACCCATTTCCAACATGTAATCTGTTCAATCATGGGACCAGAACAACATGCGCCACGCGCATACACTCGCTGGGGAAGAAAGCCAATTTGACAAACAGGAAGAGCTCTTTACGCAAACCCATAGCATGTCTAAGCCTCTTTAATTAGTAATCTCCGTGATTTTACTCTTGACAGAGCACATTTCGCGCATGTCTCGGAAACGAAAAAGAATACTACACACAGACCGGAGACAGGAAAAGTCACAGGAGCCTGTGGAAACTCAAAGAAAACCAGCCATAGCTGAGCCACATTTCTCGAAGGTCCTTGTAACTTAACGGGCTCGTAAGGCTGTTCTGTTTTCATTAAAGATGACGGTTTCAAAAGTCTTGAAAATCATGTAATAAAACTATTAGGTAAAGAAACAAAATGGACTAGTTAGGGAGCCAGAACTTGCTTCTCTAGTTTTTACATTATGTTTGACTTTACCATATGCTTTCGAGCCCGTTAAGTTACTTGAACTTTCGAAAAACTGGCCCTGCACGCAACAACCATCTGA